GATTCCACAGCATGGAGCCACGGCAATGAAAGTGGTGTCAGCGCATTAATGTACCATGTGAATGCACCCTAAGTCAGCAATGTAGGATATTGAGGGATGGGGATGATGATGGGGATGGGAAGAATGCTCCCTAGGAGGAATGGGGTCTCCACAAAGAAGAGTGTCACCCATTGCAACCTGTTGTTGTTGTTGTTAGTTTGATTTCTCTCTGCCAAGAGAGTCTCGAAGTTGCAAAAGGAGAAGGAGAAAGGTTTTCAAAATGCGTGTTTTCGGAACCCAAGCGTTCCACGCATTGCATCGACGGGAAGGCCATGGAAAGGGGTTTGGCGGGGTGGCACACCTCCCCAGCGCTCACTCACACTTTTCAGAAAAAAAAGCCACCCCACCCATACTAATGGAAACCAAAAAGGTCAGAAACAAAGAAGCCGTGGAGTTCCTCTCTCTGTGTGTGTCTGTGTGCTCTGGCAGCGAAGCACGTAGGCTGCCCGCAAAGTGCGCCAACACAAAACAGAAGCCTTTCCTGGACAGGAATGTCTTGTCATTTCGGCGGCCCTGCGTAACCCTCGTCATCGGAACATCTCCCCCGGCCTTTGTTCGAGGCCATTTCGGCTCAGGAGGGGAAACATTCTCCTTGTCAGGGGCGGGCAGAGGGCCAAAGCAGTGGGAAGGAAGATGACACACATACCTACGAAGGTGAAAGGTGCCTCTCTACCTGTTAAATCCCATGTCAAGTCAGTTCGTGATGGATAGTTTTTAAAAAAAACACCCGGGCCAGCCCTACCGTTAGATAGAGTCAGTATCTATGAGAAGGTAGAAAGATGTGTTTCAGGAAGATTTGGCCCTCCTAACATCCCCAAAGTTGGGTTTCTGCCTTGTGTAAGTCACCTATTTGAGGTTTAAAGCTCTAAGGACCATGGATACTGAGAGTCCGTGCCCGGTGTGCCGTGTTCGAGAGCAGTACGTGTGAAAAAGATCTTGGAGTTCTCATGGACAACAAGTTAAACATGAGCCAACAATGTGATGTGGCGGCAAAAAAAGCCAATGGGATTTTGGCCTGCATCAATAGGAGCATAGTGTCTAGATCTAGGGAAGTCATGCTCCCCATGCTCTATTCCGCTTTGGTTAGACCACACCTGCAATATTGTGTCCAATTCTGGGCACCACAATTCAAGAGAGATATTGACAAGCTGGAATGTGTCCAGAGGAGGGCGACTCAAATGATCAAGGGTCTGGAGAACAAGCCCTATGAGGAGTGGCTTAAGGAGCTGGGCATGTTTAGCCTGAAGAAGAGAAGGCTGAGAGGAGATATGAGGCTGAGAGGAGAATTATGTGCAAATTATTGCTGACATCCATTCTTCAATGTGGTTTTTTTTGTAAGTAATTTTTATTGGAGTTTTTGAAATAATACAGCGAAAGAGGGTGAATATTTGTGAGAAGATAGAAGCAGATTGAAAATATAGATGAAAATAAAAATAGATAGGTATGTGTAGATGTAAGACAAGAAAAAAAGCAAAAAAAGCAAAAACCTTTTTCCACCTATGGTGGTCCTGTAAGAAAATAAAAAAATATTGGAAAAAGGTTCATCAGGCAGCACAAAAAATACTTAAAATTAACTTTCCCCAAAAACCCGAAACATACCTCCTTGGCATATCTCCATAGAAGCTGGATGAAAATCAGGACAAAATCTTGTTCTTTCTAAGCACGGCAGCGAGGATACTATTGGCTAAGTCTTGGAAACGGAAGGAGATTCCAAGCATAGAGGAATGGATTGTAAAAATATTTGACATCATACAAATGGAAGAACTATCTCAAAGATTAAAAGGAACAAACAAAAAGACCAATTGGTCAGGATTTAAGGACTTCATTACAAAAAGAGGACTTCCATTACTGATAGACTTGACCAGCATATAATGAAGGCTAGCAACAGAGACTAAGCTGGGAAAAACACTGAAAAATATTAGTAGAGAACAATGAGAAGAGGGAATCGCTCTCTCTTCCCTTTATGATACGCTCAGAAGACGTTGGGAAGTCAAACCACGGGTTCGAAGGGAGCAAGGGAGGGGTTGAGGAGGCTTTAGGGTTGTTTTCATAGAATCATAGAATCAAAGAGTTGGAAGAGACCTCATGGGCCATCCAGTCCAACCCCATTCTGCCAAGAAGCAGGAATATTGCATTCAAATCACCCCTGACAGATGGCCATCCAGCCTCTGCTTTAAAAGCTTCCAAAGAAGGAGCCTCCAACACACTCCGGGGCAGAGAGTTCCACTGCTGAACGGCTCTCACAGTCAGGAAGTTCTTCCTAATGTTCAATGTGTTTTTACAATATTTTTTGTCTTTTTGTTCATTGTCTTGGAAGCCTATTTGAGTTTGGAGACAATACAGAAATCCAATCAATCTTTATAAATAAAAATGTAATGTTCGTTTGTGGGATTAACAGAACTCAAAAACCACTGGACGAATTGACACCAAATTTGGACACAAGACACCTAACAACCCAATGTATGTCCTTCACTCAAAAAAATTATTTTGTCATTTGGGAGTTGTAGTTGCTGGGATTTATAGTTCACCTACAATCAAAGAGCATTCTGAACCCCACCAACGATGGAATTGAACCAAACTTGGCAAACAGTTCTCCCATGACCAACAGAAAATACTAGAAGGTTTCGTTGGGCAGTGTTCTTTGGTTGTAGAGTTGTAGTTCACCTACATCCAGAGATCACTGTGGGCTCAAACAATGATGGATCTGGACCAAACTTGGCTTGAATATTCCAAATGCCAACATGTGAACACTGGTGGAGTTTGGGGGAAATAGAATCTTGACATTTGGGAGTTGTAGTTGCTGGGATTTATAGTTCACCTACAGTCACAGAGCATTCTGAACCCCACCAATGATAGAATTGGGCCAAACCTCCCACACAGAATCCCCATGTGGCCCACAGCAATGCGTGGCAGGGGACAGCTAGTCAATCAATAAAAACAGCTTCCAGACTCTTCGTACTCAGCTGACTCCTCAGGTTTTCATCAAGATAGAACAGAAAGGAAAGGAATTCCCAGCTACACAGAGTTCTTAAACCACTTCCAGAGAGACATGAGATTCTCCACTTTGTGACAATCCCTGTGCCTTTCCATTTGAGGAGAGGGGAGAAATGGTAGCTTTTCGTGCCCATCATCAGCCGCTCTGGCTTCCAGATTCACAAAGCCAGGAATTCGGTTTGTCTGCATTCCTTGGAGAGCGGTGGATGCGGGCGACGGGAAGCGTGTCCTCCACGTTTAAACGCCCGACGAAACCTTCCAAGACAAGCATTGCCAAGAGATAAATCATATTGGGCTGAAGCGCTAACTGCAGCCAAAAAAAAGCCGCTGGGCATGACCTACATACAAAATGAAGAAATCAGATGGAAAGTGTGAAATAGAAAGTGTCGAAACAGAAAGTGTCGATAATCGGCGATTAAACACCTTTGATTGTTCAGCATTTAGAAAGGCTCAGTGTCTATATTCCAAGAAGTCCGGCCTGAGCATCCCTTAGCTGGACTTCCACAATCTGAAAGGCTCCAAAATCCAAAAGTGTCTCCGTCTATCTATCTATCTATCTATCTATCTATCTATCTATCTATCTATCTATTTATCGTGTCAGGAGCAAACCAAACAGTTGTATTGCATTTTTAAACAAACAAACAAACAAACAAAACACAAAGTTTGCAAGCTTGGTAGTTGGTTAAATGTCCTTTGACTAGTATCTGGCCACTTGGAGTGCTTCTGGTGTTGCCATAAGGAGGTCCTCCATTGTGGATGTGGCAGGGCTCAGGGTGCATTGCAGCAGGTGGTCAGTGGTTGCTCTTCTCCACACTCGCATGTCGTGGACTCCACTTTGTGGCCCCATTTCTTAAGGTTGGCTCTGCATCTCATGGTGCCAGAGCGCAGTCTGTTCAGTGCCTTCCAAGTCACCCAGTCTTCTGTGTGCCCAGGGGGGAGTCTCTCATTTGGTATCAGCCATTGGTTGAGGTTCTGGGTTTGAGCCTGCCACTTTTGGACTCTCGCTTGCTGAGGTGTTCCAGCGAGTGTCTCTGTAGATCTTAGAAAACTATTTCTGATTTAAGTCGTTGACGTGCTGGCTGATACCCAAACAGGGGATGAGCTGGAAATGTCTCTGCCTTGGTCCTTTCACTATTGGCTGCTACTTCCCGGCGGATGTCAGGTGGTGCAATACCGGCTAAGCAGTGTAATTTCTCCAGTGGTGTAGGGCGCAGACACCCCGTGATAATGCGGCATGTCTCATTAAGAGCCACATCCACTGTTTTAGTGTGGTGAGATGTGTTCCACACTGGGCATGCGTACTCAACAGCAGAGTAGCACAGCGCAAGGGCAGATGTCTTCACTGTGTCTGGTTGTGATCCCCAGGTTGTGCCAGTCAGCTTTCATATGATATTGTTTCTAGCACCCACTTTTTGCTTGATATTCAGGCAGTGCTTCTTGTAGGTCAGAGCACGGTCCAGAGTGACTCCCAGGTATTTGGGTGCGCAGCAATGCTCCAGTGGGATTCCTTCCCAGGTAATCCTCAGAGCTCGGGATGCTTGTCTGTTCTTAAGGTGAAAGGCGCATGTCTGTCTTTTAGATGGATTAGGGATCAGTTGGTTTTCCCTGTAATAGGCAGTAAGAGCACCTAGAGCTTCGGAGAGCTTCTGTTCAACCATCTCAAAGCTCCCTGCTTGAGTGGTAATGGCACGATCATCAGCATAGATGAAACTCTCTGTCCCTTCTGGCAGTGGGTGGTCATTTGTGTAGATGTTGAACATGGATGGAGCAAGCACACTCCCCTGAGGCAGGCCGTTCTTCTGTTTCCGCCATCTGCTTCTCTGGCCCTGGAACTCAACAAAGAAGCTCCTGTTTTGTAGCAAGTTTCCATAAGTTGCAGAGAGGGCATGACCTTTGCTTTCCAATGGTTCAATGGACCTAAACTTTAGTTTGTGCACTAAAATGTTTAAAATATAAAGTCATCTTTAGGGTTTTTATACAAGGTGTATATGAAATTTCGATGAAAGAGATGTCATTCTGGATGTATATACATGTATCCATTGTACTATCCAAATATTCAAAACCAAATCCAAGATTCCAAACACTGCTCATTCCAAGTATTTTGGATGAGGGAGTCTCAACCTGCATTCTGCACCTTTCAGTGCTATACAATTGTGGGAGTTGTGGTTTTACTAAGTCTTCAGCCTCCTCTGCCAAAGAGTGTTGGCACCTCAACAAAATGCGAATCCCATCATCCCAAAGCATTATGCCGTGGCAGTTAAGGTGTTGCCAAACCGCATTATGTCATCAATGTAGATGCACCCAGAGACGTAACCAACTGAGTCTGCAACCCGGTGTAAGAGTAGTTCTAAACAAACCTTCCATTGCATTCTCATGCCTTTAAACCAGTGGTTCCCAACCTGTGGTCCGTGGACTACCAGTGGTCCCAAAGAACTAATATGTGATCAGCGGCCTTACCGTTACAACACCGTTGCAACGAGAGTGAGTGGTCTTGCGAAACTCTCTTTTAGTTCTGAGACTCATTAAATATGGTTTGCTGTGGGTGAGCAGATGTCAACTATTGGATGGCATGTTCTCTGTATCAGAAACTAGAGCTGATGTGGTCTATCCAATGCAGTTTTCTGAATCAGCCCCCTTGGCTATGGAACACCTTCCCTAGGGAGGTCAGATCAGCTTCTTCGCTCCTAACATTTCGGAAAAAACTCAAGACATGGCTATTCAAGCAAGCATTTGCAAATATTGAGTAATGGACATAGGAATGGGAACAACTACACGATGGGACTGGGCAATGTTTTTAATGAAAATGAGAATTTATTGATTTATGTTTTATTATTATTGTTATGATTTTATTAATGTTAACGTTTTTATATTGTACTTGTGTTTTTGTGGCATTGAATTTTGCCTTGTAAACCGCCTCGAGTCACCAGAAGGAGGAGAGGGTCAGTATACAAATACAGCAAATAAATAAATAAATAAATAAATAAATAAAACTTGCCTCCTTGCCTTGGAAAAAGAGTGTGTGTGTGTGGCATGCAGACCCAGCATGTATGCCTGCCTGCAGCCAAGTGCCTCCTCTAGAGTAAGAAAGTAAGAGCTTGCATCCTTGCCTTGAAGGAGTGTGTGTGTGGCGTGCAGGCCTAGCCTGCAGCGAAGTGCCTCCTCTAGAGTAAGAGAGTGTGCATCCTTGCCTTGGAAAGAGAGAGAGTGTGTGTGTGTGGCAGCCAAGTGCCTCCTCTAGAGTAAGGAAGTAAGACCGTGCCTCCTTGCCTTGAGGGAGTCTGTGTCTGTGTGTGGTGTGCAGGCCCAGTGTGCGTGCCTGCCTGCAGCCAAGTGCCTCCTCTAGAGTAGGAAAGTAAGGGCTTGCCTCCTTGCCTTGAGGGAGTGCGTGTGTGGCATATAGGCCCAGCATGTGTGCCTGTCTACAGCCAAGTGCCTCCTCTAGAGTAAGAAAGTAAGAGCTTGCATCCTTGCCTTGAGGGAGTGTATGTGTGGCGTGCAGGCCTAGCCTGCAGTGAAGTGCCTCCTCTAGAGTAAGAGAGTGTGCATCCTTGCCTTGGAAAGAGAGAGAGTGTGTGTGTGGCCTTGAGGGAGTGTGTGTGTGGTGTGCAGGCCCAGTGTGCGTGCCTGCCTGCAGCCAAGAGTAAGAAAGTAAGAGCGTGCCTCCTTGCCTTGGAAAGTGTGTGTTTGTGTGAGGCAGCCAAGTGCGTCCTCTAGAGTAAGAAAGTAAGAGCGTGCCTCCTTGCCTTGGAAAGTGTGTGTTTGTGTGAGGCAGCCAAGTGCCTCCTCTAGAGTAAAAAAGTAAGAGCTTGCCTCCTTGCCTTGAGGGAGTCTGTGTGTGGCGTGCAGGCCTAGCCTGCAGCGAAGTGCCTCCTCTAGAGTAAGAGAGTGTGCATCCTTGCCTTGGAAAGAGTGTGTGTGTGTGTGGCAGCCAAGTGCCTCCTCTGGAGTAAGAAAGTAAGAGCTTGCCTCCTTGCCTTGAGGGAGTGTGTGTGTGGTGTGCAGGCCCAGTGTGCATGCCTGCCTGCAGCCAAGTGCCTCCTCTAGAGTAAGAAAGCAAGAGTGTGCCTCCTTGCCTTAGGAAGAGTGTGTGTGTGTGTGGCATGCAGGCCCAGCATGTATGCCTGCCTGCAGCCAAGTACACCCTCTAGAGTAAGAAAGTAAGAGCGTGCCTCCTTGCCTTGAGGGAGTGCGTGTGTGGCATGCAGGCCCAGCATGCGTGCCTGCCTGCAGCCAAGTGCCTCCTCTAGAGTAAGAAAATAAGAGCTTGGTTCCTTGCCTTGGAAAGTGAGGGAGAGAGTGTAGCATGCAGGCCCTAAAAGTGTACATGCCTGCCTGCTGATGAGCACCTCTCCTCTAGAGTAGAACTAGCAAGATGCCTCCTTAAAGCACATGACTCCCTGCAGCTGAGCACCTCTCCTCTAGAGTAGAACTAGTAAGACGCCTCCTTAAAGCACATGACTCCCTGCAGCTGAGCACCTCTCCTCTAGAGTAGAACTAGTAAGACGCCTCCTTAAAGCACATGACTCCCTGCAGCTGAGCACCTCTCCTCTAGAGTAGAACTGGTAAGACGCCTCCTTAAAGCACATGACTCCCTGCAGCTGAGCACCTCTCCTCTAGAGTAGAACTGGTAAGACGCCTCCTTAAAGCACATGACTCCCTGCAGCTGAGCACCTCTCCTCTAGAGTAGAACTAGTAAGATGCCTCCTTAAAGCACATGACTCCCTGCAGCTGAGCACCTCTCCTCTAGAGTAGAACTAGTAAGATGCCTCCTTAAAGCACATGACTCCCTGCAGCTCAACACCTCTCCTCTAGAGTAAAACAGCCATTAGCCTAGGACACACTGTACGGTAGGTGTGTACAGCTTTCAGTCAAAATGTTGGCCTCCCAATTAGCTCTGGGTTTTAATCAGAACTTGAACCTGGTGGTCCCCTGATAACTTCAGCACCTTGGATAGTGCCTGATCCTTCAAAGTGAAACCTGGTGCAAAAGTCCCCACACTCACGGATACGCAATCCACCAAGGGCCACTTGGCAAGGCATCGGGTTTACCCCGCCCTTCCCGAAATGAAAGATCAATGTTAATGACTGGTAATTAATAAATCCCCGGCGTGCGGATTTCTGCATCCACAGGCGACTAGTCCTGTAACCTGAAACCTCCCTGGCTTCCCAGTCAAGGAACTGCTTAGACCGCATTCTCCAGAAGTGTTTAAAAAGGGTGGGGTTGCCCAGCACTTGCTCCGACTCTTTGCACACTTGGGTTGTGTGTGTGTGTGTTTTTTGATTGGTGGCAATTGCCAGCCAGAAATATAAAGCGAAGACGGACTGGTTGGTGATCATTGCCAGCACTTTCTCCCTCTCTCTCTCCCTCTCACCACCTCGTTCTCTCTCATTATCAATTTTAGGATGGCATGGCTCAATGTCTTCCTCTTCTACCCCGTACCCGTTTGCCTGCTTCTGTGCGCACTCATCGCCTTGGCTTCCTTCTATTTGCCAAGCAGGAGGGCGGCTTTGGGGTTGCCACCAGGACCCACGCCTCTTCCCATCATCGGCAACCTGCATTTGCTGGATTTCAAAAGGCAAGACAAAACCATCCTGAAGGTAGGAGACGAGCGTGCAAAGCTTCCCACGAGTTCGGCTCAATCCACAAGTATCTGCGACTGTCAATCTCAGAGATTTGATTCATCAGAGACTGACTGGCTGGAAACTTGGACCATCGATGATTCGGAAAGTTATCCTTAGATAAGGCAATTTAAGGGGGGCATCTGCACTGTAGATCAGTGGTTCTCAACCTTCCTAATGCCGTGACCCCCGAATCCAGTCCCTCATGTGGTGGTGACCCCCAACCATAACATTGTTTTTGTTGCTACTTCATAACAGTCACTTTACTACTGTTATAAGTCATAATGTAAATATCTGATATGCAAGGTGGACCAAACTGGGCACAAATACCCAATGCACCCATATGTAAATGCTAGTGGAGTTGGGGGAGGATTGATTTTGTAATTTGGGAGTTGTAGTTTCTGGGATTTATAGTTCACCTATAATCAAAGAGCATTCTGAACTCCACCAGTGATAGATTTGTACCTAATTTGCCACCCAGAACTCCTATGACCAATGGAAAACACTTGAAGGGTTTGGTGGCCATTGACCTTGAGTTTGGGAGTTGTAGTTCACCTACACCCAGAGAGCACTGTGGACTCACGCAATGGTGGATCTGGACCAAACTTGGCACAAATACTCAATATGCGCAAATGTGAACGCTGGTGGAGCCTGGAGAAAACAGACCTTGACTTTTGGGAGTTGTAGTTTCTGGGATTTATAGTTCACCTATAATCAAAGCGGAGCCCCCGGTGGCTTAGTGGGTTAAAGCACTGAGCTGCTGAGCTTGTTGATCAAAAGGTCGCAGGTTTGATTCCGGGGAGCGGTGAGCTTCCGCTGTCAGCCCTAGCTTCTGCCAACCTAGCAGTTCGAAAACATGCAAATGTGAGTAGATCAATAGGTACCGCTCCGGCGGGAAGGTAACGGCTCTCCATGCAGTCATGCCGGCCACATGACCTTGGAGGGGTCTACGGACAACGCTGGCTCTTCGGCTTAGAAATGGAGATGAGCACCACACCCCAGAGTCAGACATGACTGGACTTAGTGTCAGGGGATTTAGTTCACCTATAATCAAAGAGCATTCTGAACTCCACCAGCGATGGATTTGAACCTAATTTGCCACACACAACTCCCATGACCAACGGAAAACACTTGAAGGGTTTGGTGGGCATTGACCTTGAGTTTGGGAGTTGTAGTTCACCTATATCCAGAGAGCACTGTGGACTCACGCAATGGTGGATCTGGACCAAACTTGGCACAAATACTCAATATGCGCAAATGTGAATGCTGGTGGAGCCTGGGGAAAATAGACCTTGACTTTTGGGAGTTGTAGTTGCTGGGATTTATAGTTCACTACAATCAAAGAATATTCTGAACTCCACCAACGAGAGAATTGGTTCAAACTTCCAACATGGAATCCCCATGACCATCAGAAAATACTGTGTTTTCTGATGGTCTTTGGCGACCCCTCTGACACCCCTTCGCGACCCCCTCAGGGGTCCCGACCCCCAGGTTGAGAAACACTGGTGTAGATGGTAAGGTAAGACTGCATGGAGCACCCTTCCCTTCCTGCTGGAGCAGTACCTATTGATCTACTCATATTTGCATGTTTTCAAACTGCTAGGTTGGGAGAAGCTAGGGCTAACAGCGGGAGCTCACCCTACTCCCCGGATTCGAACTCGAGACCTTTTGGTCAACAAGCTCAGCAGCTCAGTGGTTTAACCCACTGTGCCACCGGGGGCATCTACACTATGGAATTAATGCAGTTCGACATCACTTTAATGGTCATTGGCTCAGTGTTATGGGATCCTGGAAATGTTATGCAAGCTCTTAAGCCTCCTCTATGTTTCACTTCCACGATTCCATCGCATTCAGCCACGGCGGTTAAAGTGATGTCAAACCGCATTAATTCCATAGTGTAGACACCCCCGGTGGCGCGGTGGGTTAAACCACTGAGCTGCTGAGCTAATAATAATAATAATAATAATAATAATAATAATAATAATACTTTATTTATGCCCCTCCTTCATCTCCCCAAGGGGACTCGGTAGCGGACATAAGGCCGAGCCCACAATACATCAATACAAGCAATAACAACAGCTTGTTGACCAAAAGGTCTCTGGTTCGAATCCGGGGAACAGGGTGAGCTCCCGCTGTTAGCCCCAGCTTCTGCTAACCTAGTAATTTGAAAACATGCAAATGTGAGTCAGGCCAGTATCCAGGATTTTGATTCAGGGGGTGCTGAATTTGATTGGGGGGGGGCTGAGTTTGATTCGGGGGGGGGCTGAGGATCTACCCTAGCAAACCTATCCCAATACCCCCATGCATATGGTATATATTGAGCATGGTGATCAGATCATGATATGAATAAACATAACAGTTTAAATAATGTACCAGGAAGGCCTTCTCGTGGACCACCATCAGAATTTCAGGGGTGGGGGGGGGCTGAGATGATCCTAGGTCTCTTCCCACTATAGGATTCTAGGATTCTATTCCAGTTGAGGTGTTCAACAGTGGAACTCTCTGCCCTGGAGTGTGGTGGAGGCTCCTTCTTTGTAGGCTTTTAAGCAGAGGCTGGATGGCCATCTGTCAGGGGTGCTTTGATTATGATTTTCCTGCTTCTTGGCAGAATGGGGTTGGATTGGATGGCCCATGAGGTCTCTTCCAACTCTATGATTCTATGATTCTATTCCAGGTGAGGTGTTCAACAGTGGAACTCTCTGCCCAGGAATGTGGTGGAGGCTCCTTCTTTGTAGGCTTTAAAACAGAGGCTGGATGGCCATCCTTTGGAGGTGCTTTGTATGCGATTTTCCTGCTTCTTGGCAGAATGGGGTTGGACTGGATGGCCCAGGAGGTCTCTTCCAACTCTAGGATTCTATGATAAGGAATGTGGCACACACTATAGAAAGAGAGCATGTATTCATACACCGTTCTTCGAATAGTTGGGCCAGTAGGACCAGTGACTGGGCTTGTTGGTGATACTGGGAGATGAATTCTACAAAAGTAAGGTCTCAAGTTTCCAAAAAGGCAGAAGTGTTCATTCAGATGGACTGTTTGGAGAAGAGAATGCATTAGGGCAAGGGATGCATCGAGTGGACGTCTGCTCCATTCCTCCTTCCAGAAAATCCACCAAAACCTTGATAGTGGCAACTATTTATTTACCTATAATACAAAAGTGATACATGCCACCAGGTTTTACAGTCCTACAATATGTTGTTGTTATTGTTGTTCATTCGTTCAGTCGTCTCCGACTCTTCGTGTCCTCATGGACCAGCCCACGCCAGAGCTCCCTGTCGGCCGTCACCACCCCCAGCTCCTTCAAGGTCAGTCCAGTCACTTCAAGGATGCCATCCATCCACCTTGCCCTTGGTCGGCCCCTCTTCCTTTTGCCTTCCACTTTCCCCAGCATCATTGTCTTCTCTAGGCTTTGCTCTCTCCTCATGATGTGGCCAAAGGACTTCCACTTTGTCTCTAGTCTCCTTCCCTCCAGTGAGCAGTCGGGCTTTATTTCCTGGAGGATGGACTGGTTGGATCTTCTCGCAGTCCAAGGCACTCTCAGAACTTTCCTCCAACACCACAGCTCAAAAGCATCGATCTTCCTTCGCTCAGCCTTCCCTAAGGTCCAGCTCTCACATCCGTAGGTGACTACAGGGAAGACCATGGCTTTGACTAGGCAATGGATCTTGGTTGCCAGTCTGATGTCTCTACTCTTGACTATTTTATCGAGACTGGACATTGCTCTCCTCCCAAGAAGGAAGCGTCTCCTGATTTCCTGGCCACAGTCTGCATCTGCAGTCATCTTTGCACCTAGAAATACAAAGTCTGTCACAGCCTCCACGTTTTCTCCCTCTATTTCCCAGTTGTCAATCAAATTCTTGTTGCCATATCTTGGGTTTTTTGATGTTTACTGCAACCCAGCTTTTGCGCTTTCTTCTTTCACCTTGATTAGAAGGCTCCTCAGCTCCTCCCCGCTTTCGGCCATCAGAGTGGTGTCATCTGCATATCTGAGGTTGTTAATGTTTCTTCCAGCAATTTTCACCCCAGCTTTGCATTCATCAAGCCCCGCACATCGTATGATGTGTTCTGCATACACGTTAAAAAGGTTGGGTGAGAGGATGCAGCCTTGCCGTACGCCTTTCCCAATCTTGAACCAGTCTGTTGTTCCGTGGTCAGTTCTGACTGTTGCTACTTGGTCCTTGTACAGATTCCTCAGGAGAGAGGGAAGGGGGCTTGGGATGCCCATCCCACCAAGAACTTGCCACAATTTATTATGAATATAATATATAATAATATATAATATATATATTATATAATATTATATATATATATATGTTACGGGAGTGTCCCCGTTTTCCAAGATTCCGAGATCAGCGAGGAAGGAAGAGACAGAGACAGCTGTTGCAAGTTCACAGAATTTATTGCTTACCCCGGGTAAGGGCGCCCCAGCTTCAACATGGCTGATGTGGCACAGAGCACTACCCCAAAAGCATCCAGTATTTATAGGCAGAATTACTTAGTTTGCACATGCGCATAATTCTCTTGACATTTACACAATCTAATCAATATCAGTTTGTCCTCGAGGAATCGCAGCCAAGAACACTTGTTGGCAAGATACTATAATTTCCACTGCTCCCCTTTCATCAGCTGACCAGACACATTCCCAGATGAGATACATAAAAGTGAATCTTAACTTCATATATCTCTTCATATATATGACTCCATACATCTTCATATGTGTATCTTTAACTTATTCAAAGCAAGCATTTCCCTTATTAATTCTTCTGTAATTACTTTCACATCATTTTCCTATATTCTTACTTATGTAGGATTGTTCATAGGACTGAATTACCTGCTATTTACATCAGATGGAGGATAGATGGCGCTGTTGTACCATATCTTCAGATGTTTGTTTTTCTTGGATCAATAATTATCGATTTACTTTTAGAGCCAATTCTCTGACCTTCCACATTTAGTACATAGCCGTCCTTCTATTTATTTAC